CATCCTCCCAACCCGATCTTTGTCTCTCTCTCTCTCTCTCTCTCTCTCTCCCTCTCTCAGGACCAGCGTGGGCGCGTTGCTATACAAAGAGGGCCCGGTTCACGTCACGGCGGACATGGCGCACGTGGCCATAGGGGGGGTTCGAGCGCAGGCAGGACGTGCGGCCAGGTGTGTATCCTTTGGGCAGAGACCGACCGTCCAGGCATTCCTACAGGCCTACCAAGACGTGTTCTTGGAACCACAATTTGCTCTAATAACAAGAGCAACGCTCTAAGAACATGAGCCCAGTGCGTTAACACAGGGCGGTCTCAGGCAGAAACGTTCTCACAACATGTCGTGCAGGACAGGTTCTCAGTCCACTCTTTGGTGGGCTCGCAGGCCAGCCAGGACGCTTCATCACTGCTCGATTCCTGCTCTCGCCCAGGCTGGCCACGCTCATGCCTAAGCCGCCTCCCAGGTGGACGAGTGTCGCGGGGGGGGTGCGACACCAAGAGAGGGCGAACGTTAGGAGGGCAACGTTAGGAGGGGAGGAGAAGGAGAAGGAGGAGGAGGAGGAGGTGTGCGACACGAAGAGAGGGCGACGAGACGAGGGCAGCGTTCTGAGGGGACCCGCTCCGGGGGGGGAACGTATCGCCCGGGAGCTTGCGTGTCTTTTTCGCCTATGGACCCTGCGAAGAGCCCCCGACGGCGCATCCGCATGCTCCTGGGCAAAATGTTGGGCTACCGCGCCCCCATCGGCGATCCACCCAGACCCCTCGCGTTGTGAAAAAATCATGACGGGAAATCTTTCGCTATTGTCGGCCTCTGGGGGCCCTTACCGGGCCTCGGAACCGTCAAACAACGACTCAGGGTGAAAACCCGGTCCCCGCGAATGGGTCCAGACCGCTGCGGGTCGCGCCATGTAAAAATCATGACGTCGGGGGCCTGGGCATGGTCGACTGGGGGTCGATGCCGCCCCCACTGAGCCCATCCCCCGCCTGACGTTGCCCCTGGAGGGAGTAGGGGAGGAACAAAACGCCACAAGCAGAAACTGTTGGCGCTCCGCGCGGATTTCTTGGATCTGGGCGGGAACCCCCCTCCCTGGCGGCGCAGGAGCGCGCCAGGGCGGCGCCAGAGGCGCCAGGGAGGGAGCCCCAGCGCGGATCCAAGAAATCCGCGCGGAGCGCCAAAAGTTTATGTTTGTGACGTTCATTCTTCTTCTCCGAGAGAGGGGGCCTCGGCTGTACTTCATGCTGTCCAGCAGCGCGGTGCACTCGTGGGGCGAGGGGTCGAAGCTGGAGCAGATCGCCTCCGCCCGTGCCGCGGGGAGATTGGGGAGCGCTCTGACCAACGAGCCGCCCGCACCGTCCTCGTTTTCCTTTGGCCGCATCCTTCCTCCCTCCTCCTTTTGCAGCTCCACTGACATCACCGTTGAAGCCTCCCATCGTCAGCGCAGTCACCCTCTGCCTAGCCGCCGACGCAAGGAGTGCCGCTAGGGGAGTGGAGGAGGAGGAGGGGGAGGAGGAGGATGAGGAGCAGGAGGAGGAGGAGGAGGAGGAGGAGGAGGAGGAGGAGGAGGAGGAGGAGGAGGAGGAGGAGCAGCGAGGAGCAGCGATGAGCAGCGAGGAGGAGGAGGAGGAGGAGGAGGAGGAGGAGGAGGAGGGGAGGAGGAGAGGAGGAGGAGGAGGGGGAGGAGGAGGAGGAGGAGGAGGAGGAGGAGGAGAGGAGGAGGAGGAGGAGGAGGAGGAGGAGAGGAGGAGGAGGAGGAGGAGGAGGAGGAGCAGGAGGAGCAGGAGGAGGCAGGAGAGCAGGAGGAGGAGAGAGCTGGAGGAGGAGGAGGAGGAGGAGGAGGAGGAGGAGGAGGAGGGAGGAGGAGGAGGAGGAGGAGGAGGGAGGAGAGCGAGGGAGGAGGAGGAGGAGGAGGAGGAGGAGGAGGAGGAGGAGGAGGAGCAGCGAGGAGCAGCGAGGAGCAGCGAGGAGGAGGAGGAGGAAGGAGGAGGAGGAGGAGGAGGAGGCGGCGGTGGGGCATCAGAAAGGCGAGCGTGCGCTCCCCGCGCTCTGCTGCGAGCCACCCTCTCGGCGGGCCCCCGACCCACGGCCGGCGGCCGCTCCTCTGGAGGCCACCATGGACGCTTCGCGAGCCGCCATGACTAGGGGAAGAAACAATGAGGTACAGTCGGGGCGTTGACCTAAGGAACGATCAACAAGGAACGATAAGGAACGATACGCAAGTACCTAAGAGCCGATACATGAGGAATGAGGACAAACTGCATAAGGTACGATAGCAAAGCAACGATCAATAACGAGCCCCTTATTTTCCTTAATATAAAATTCGATTTCCAATCGAGGAAGCCGAAGGTAAACCTGAGGCAAACACAGCTAAGGAGCACGGAGCCCCTCCCAAGCGAAATGGGTTCCTTCTTCAGCGCCCCGACTCTAAACATATTTCTTGTGTCGCTCCGCGCGGATTTCTGGGATCTGCGCCGGAATCCCCCTCCCTGGCAGCGCAGGAGCGCGCCAGGGGATCGGCGCTGGAGGCGACGCCAGGCGGGGGGCCCCAGCGCGGATCCAAGAAATCCGGGCGAAGCGCCAACAGTTTATGTTTATGGCGTTTTTTTTTACGGGGATGGACAGGACCCCCATTTGGCAAAACGTGGTTCAGTGAAAACGGCCTCGGGCCCAAACCTGGCGGGCGCAAGCCTGGAGAGTGACGGCCGCGGCGCCCTCGCGAGAACCGAGAGCGGACAATTCACGAATCGACGTGTCAGGGTAGGGGTTATGCCCCCCCTGGGAATTTTTCATCGAATTGCTTGCTCGCCTCGCCCAATTCTGCCGGCCCGGGGTTCCTCTCATCGCGGGCGCTTGTGCCCGCAGGGTCGTCGCCCTCGCGGCTCTGCCGAGAGTGGTGACCGGAACATCGCCTGCAGCGCCGCGTGTGGGGCGTCTCGTGGGAGGGTCCTCTGCGCGGGGTCCCGCCGTGGCGTTTTCCGGGCCCTGGTCCGCGGCCGTCACGCACCACAGGAGGGGCCGCTCCCCGGACGCCCTCGGAGCAGGAAGAGAACGCGACGCGGAGTCTTCCGCTCTACGTTGGGCCTCGGGGCCCGGAGCGCCGAGCGAGGCGCCTCGGGATGAGGAGCCGGTCCCGGGGGCAGCCTTCCGGGGGCCGCGGCGTGTTAACACAGCAGGTCGTCGGGGGCCTTGGGCCCGTGGCCGTCGCGCACCACTGGATGGGGCCGGTCATGGGGCTCTCGGGGAGCCGTCGTCGTCCCTCCTCGGGCTGCTCCTCTGGAGGCGCCGCGGTCCCAGAAGCTCGGGCGCCTCGGGGATCGGGGGCGTCCAATATGAGGGGGGCGCCCAAGAAGAGAAGAGGGGCGCCACTCGTGGCCGGCGGCACGCGCGCGGCCCAGGGGGGGGGGGGTCCTGGGGACGCATCAAAAGAAGGAGAAGAAAAAGAATAATAAGAACAAGAAGAAGAAGAAGAAGAAGAAGAAGACGAGACGCAGTGAAATCTGAGGAGGAATCATGGCCCCCGCGATGACCTCCACCCCCCCCTTTTTGCCGGTGCGCACAAGGGTGTGGAGGGAAGGGGGGAGGGCTTCTTTGAAGGAGGCTGCTTCTTAGAAGGCGCCGGCCTTACATCTGTAGAGAAGGCCCGCGCCTTCGAAGAAGCAGGGGTGCTTCTGAGAAGCCCTCCCCCCTCCCCCCACCCCCCTCTGCGCGTGGCCGACCCTTGCCATCACCCCGCTCTCGGCCGCCCCCGAGGGGGCCAGCCCCTCACCTCGAGCCGACCCTGGACGCCTCCGGCGTCCAGGACCTGCCATTCTGCAGCGGCAGACAGTGGCGATCCACCTCCACCGCCACGTGTTGTTCCAAACTGTCGGACCCTGACCTCCGCCGACTCGGCTGTTTGTTTCACTCCGCGGCCTCAGAGGTCGAGTGGGGGATCGTCTATGGAATTGCTTTAACCAAAAAATGACTTTTCCGTCGATTCCAGAGAGACACGTAGAGTGTTCTGTAGATCTACAGAACACATTATACGCACTGTTCGCATCTTCGAAAGAAAATCAAAATCAAACTGATGTATCCTATAATTAATTTTCCGACAAGTCTAGAGAAATACGTAGGGAGTGTTCCGTTGACCTACAGCATGTAAGCCTACGAGGTCGAAGAGGTTCCGACCCCTTCCCCGCGGGGGGGGGTGTTCTTTCGCCCCGCAGATCTCCATGCCTGCTGGCCTCCTCCAGGGGCCCGGCCCCTCCAGATCGAGGCCCGCAGTGGAGGAGAGGAGCGCCCGAAGCGACCAAAACACGTCTCTCGACGGAGAGCTGGGCCTTCACGGCAACCGAGGCTCGGACCCTATCCCCGGGGGGCAGGTTCTTCCCCGACCATGAAAACATCACGGCGGGAGGCTCTTCTCGCTCTCTTCAGCCCTCTGGGGGCCCTCCCCGGGCCACGAGGGGGCGTCAAGAAGCGGCTCGGGATGAAGAGCCGGCCCCGGGGGAAGGGGTCCGGACCTCCTGCCGTCGCTCGGACGTCCACTTTTCCCGTGCTGTTTCCGGTTTCGTGCGTCTTCTCCTCGCCAAATGATCAGGGAGGCTCCTCGATGGGTTCTCGCAGAGAAAACATGCACACGTCCGAGCGAGGCCGAGACCTCGGGGGGCCGCGCCGTGACACAGCTCGCGCCGTCGGAGGTCCGAGCTCGCCCCGCGGATGCCTGCCCCCATGGCCTCGCAAAGAAGGGGCCCGAGGGCCGGGCCCCCCCACGGGAGCCCGAGCTCGTGGAGGCGCGGCGCCCGCACGGGGCAAAGACACGGCGCAGCTCTGACGGCCGAGCCGCGCCGTCGGAGGCCCGCGGCCGGGCACGTCTGCTCGGCGCGCCGCGGCGGCGGCCCCGGCGGCGCGCCCCGCCTCGCGGCGGCTCGCGGCGGCGCCGGCGGCGGCTCGCGGCGGCGCCGCTCCGCCGTCGCGGGGCCGGGGGGGGGGCGGAGGGCGAGGAGCCCGGGCCCCCGACGCCGCGACTTTTTGCATGGCGCGACGCCCTGGTAGGGGGCCACCTGCGGACCCTACCCCTAACCCCCCACGATTTCTGAGGGGGAGGGTGGGGTTCACTTCGGGTCGGGAGGCTGAGAGTGAGGAGAGCAACTATCGTGTTGGGAGGAAGGGGCTGGGAGGACGAAGGGCATGAGCAATAGCATCCGGATCCGGATGCAGTGAACGATGGCTTCGGCCGCCTAGGGGAAAAGGAGGTCCTCATGTCTCCCAACCCGACAGTTGTCTTCCTGAGAGAGAAGTAAGGAACCGAACTTTCTACTGCGATGCTTTTTCCAGTCCCGCACGCAGATTCGCACAAGAAAGCGGATCCTGGTGTACACGGCATCCTGGTGTATACGTTGTCTGTTGCTTCCAGGGGAGAACGGGGAAACAAGCGTACACCACACCACTTCGACGTCGTCCTCGACCCCCAAAGCCTCCTGGGATTGAGCCGCAGCCCGCCACGGGCAGTGCAGATGCTCCAGCTTCCGAAGAGGAGCTCGGCGCACGGGCCGCGCGGGGGACCGCGAGGTGGACAGCGCCGTGGCGCCGCGCAGCGGCGCGCGGCGCAGGCCCGCCAGGGCCGGCGCGCCAGCCGCGGCGCGCCGCCGAGCCTCGAGGCTCCGGGCCGTGCAGGGCCGCCTGGGCGGCCCTGCTGGGCGCGAACGGGTGCGAGGGGCAACGAGAGGGGAGGGGATAGGCTAGGAGGCAACTGCCGGGAGGCTTTCCTCGGAAGGATGGGGGAAGATTCAGCCCCGTTGGGGGGCTGTCACGCCAGGGTGGGCCTCGGAATGAGCGGGATTGAGCCGGATGAAGCGGGGTTAAGCTGGATTGAGCCGGATCTCGGACCAGGGCGGAAACAGAATTTGACCTCCCAGGAGTTGCATCCGAAGATAGGGATGGGGGGGGGGGAACATCGACTTGGAGTCGGCGACCTGGAGACATAAGGGGAAGGATAGGGATAGGGGGGCGATAACTGGGGTCGGAGTAGATGGGGTCGGAGGATCGCGCCGCATCACCGATGCATCGGCGATGCATCGGCGATGCTTCGGCGATGCGCCAGCGATGCATCGGTGACGTCGGCGATGCATCGGCGACGCCAGCGTGGAGCCAAGCGGGCTCCACATCGAGCCACATCGCCGATGCATCGACGTTACGGAGCGATCCTCCGACCCCATCTACTCTGACCCCATCTGGGAGGCCTACAACCCGCTGGATTAAAAAGTGGAGACCGTGGGGATCGAGGAAGACGCGGTTGGCCTTCCGGTAGGTCGTGGGGCCCGGGACAATGTTGGAGTTGGGGCCGATTTGGGAATTTCAGATGCATCTCTCACCCCTTTCAATAGTTAACGGCCAAATGGGGTCAGCGTCTGAAAATGCGATTCCGCCCGAGACTTCCTCACAAAAACTTTCAGATCTCTTTCCAGGGCGATCTGAAAATTTGCCATGGCATCTGGAAATGGCGATTTCGCGAGGGACTTCCTCAGAACAAATTTTCAGACTGATCTTCATGCCGCTTGAGAGTGGTGATATCGCCTGAGAATTCCTCACAGCGTCTTTTCCGGCCGCTCTTCACGCCGCCAGAGAGAGGCGACTTCTGTCGCCCGTTTCGGCCCCTGGGGGCCCCCCACCGGGCCTCGGGACTGTCAAACAACAACTCGGGATGAAAAACCGGTCCTGGGGAATGGGTCTGGACCTCTGGGGGTCGCGTCATGAAACAAATCATGACGTCGGGGTTCTGGGACATGGGGGGCGGGAGAGGTGCCCCGTTTCGGGACCCGAAGGGTCCCCAAAGGCGGACCCCTCTCTGCGGCCCTCGCTGCTCCCCCCCCCTCCGAGGCCCTGGCCTTGACGACCGACTCCGGGTCCAGCGGGCCCGTGTACCGCCAGCCGTTCAGCCGGAGGGCCTGGTCGCTCCACGCCACTTCCCTGGCGAGGGACGGGCGGCGGCTGCCGGCGGCGAGGGGGCGGGGTGAGGCCAGCGGGGCCAGGGAGCCTGCAAAGGACGTGCGCGCCCAACCAGGTACACGAACACGGCCCCCCAAATCCGCGAGACCGCCCGCGTGCTACGAACGTTCGCGCAGAGCGTTCTCTCGAAACCAACTTGGACTTGTGTACGTGTACGTCCTTCTTGCGCTCCTGAGGGGCTCCGATGGGCGCTTGCCAAGCCAAGCCCCCTCACATCGCACCAAAAACCCAAGCCCCCGACGTCATGATTTGTTTCATGACGCGACCCCCAGAGGTCCGGACCCTCTCCCCTGGACCCGCTTTTCATCCTGAGTCGTTTTTTGACAGTCCCGATGGCCACAGAGGCCGAAAGTAGCGAAAACCTCCCGGCGTGATTTTTGTCACAATGCGAGAGGGTCTGGGAACACAGCGGAAGGCTCCCAGGAACGTCAGCAGCACCACTCAGGGTGAGAAGCCCGGGGAGGAAGGGGTCCTGGCGTCGCATGCTGTTCACCAGCGATGTTGCCTTGTTTGGGGTCCCAAGAACACCACGGATCGATCCCGCTCAGAAAATGCAGCGGAAAGATGGGGTCCGGGGCTGCCCGTCGAGCTGTTTTTACGATGAGGCAAAGTCTCCATGAGGAGGAGGAAGAGGAGGGGGAGGAGGAGGAGGAGGAGGAGGAGGAGGAGGAGGAGGAGGAGGAAGAGGAGGGCAGGAGGAGGTGCTAGCAGCATCAGCGTCAGGAGAGGAGGAGGAGGATGGTCAGGAACATCAGAAGGAGGAGGAGGAGGAGGAGGACGAGGAGGAGGGGGAGGACGAGGAGGGGGTGAGAGGAGGAAGATGAGGAGGAGGAGGAGGAGGCGGAGAAGGAGTTGGAGGCCTCCAGTTCGGAGCGTCGCTCCATGGATCCCCTGCCGCGGGCACACGCCACCAATGGTTCCCGCGGGAGCGGTGCTCCTCACCCGGGCCTGGGGCCGCCTCGACTGCTCGTCGCGGCAGCCTCGCCTCCGCGCCGGAAAGCTCCCTCGTCGTCGCCGTCGTCGTCGGATCGGATCGCCGACGGATCGTCCCGAGTCCGAGCGACATCGGTTGGGTGCTGCTTACCTGGGGGGGCGATCAAATGGGGGGGGGGGGGGGGGGCGGGGAAGAGATGCACCTCTCGTGTGCTCCTTGTGGGCCCTTCAGGGGCCACCTTCAGGGGCCCTTCAGGGCACAACAGGTGCAGCTTTCTTCACACCCCAACCCATCGCACCCCCCATATTCCCAGAAAACCTGGAGCCATGAAAACATCACGACGAAATATATGTTGCTATTGTCGGCCTCTGGGGGGCCTTTACCGGGCCTCGGGACCGTCCAGCAACGACTCAGGATGAGACGCCGGTCCCGGGGAATGGGGCTGGACCTCTCTGGGGGTCGCGCCACGAACAAATCACGACGTCGGAGGCCTGGGTTACGCGATGTCCTTTTCCTCCTCCTCCTCCTCCTCCTCCTCCTCCTCCCCCTCCCCCTCCTCCTCCTCCTCCTCCTCCTCCTCCTCCTCCTCCTCCTCCTCCTCCTCAGTATCAGTATCAGTATCCGTATCAGTATCAGTACCATGCGGAGAAGGCGTCTGTGCCACCTACTCCAAACACCGAGCAAATTACCACTCCTCGTCTGGGTCGGATCCTCCCGGCCTCAGGCCCTTGAGTCGCTCCTGGGCCACCAGACGCGCGAGCAATTCAGCGAAGAGCCCGAGCCTCGCAAGTAGCTCGGGCTCGGTCCAACGCTCTGAGATTGGGTTCCAACCTGCACCAACCAGCGGGGGATCGGCAGAGGGGGGCTTGTACACCTCGCTTAGCGAGGTGGTAGAGCTCCACATTGCTAGGCGGCCTGCGGGGCCCGATCATCCAGCCTCGGTACTGCGCCGCCCAGCTCGGGGAAAACCCATTCTCCATCCTCCCTCGCTGTCCCTTCAATGCGTAAGTGGTTTCCTGGCATCTCTTGGCCAGGGAGTCGGCCCCGCCTAACGCGTATCCGCACCACTTCGTGCACATCGCAACTCTACTCCTTCCAGGGACATGCACGCCGTTGGCATCGAAGGCCGATGCTATTCTAAACGCGTGTCCCTGTCAGCAGGATAAAGATTTCGAGCTCTGGGTCGCGGTTCGACTCAGAGTCAAGGGTCGGGAAAACAGCTCGCGACCCCGACAGATCCAAGGCAATGACTTCGTTTAAAAGAGTTTTGCCGCACGTCGCTCGGCCTTCCTGCGTTTGGCCTCGCGCTCGGCAAATTCACTCGTGTCCAGCAACTGATGATTGACCTGGTGGGCATCCTGGGACCCAATCCATATCCCCAGCTCCCGAGAGAAACCCACCAGGGCCTTCAACTTCCCAAACTCGTCATCTGCTGGATGGCGCAAAACCCCAAGCTTCGCGTACTCATCCGCTTTATCATTGCCACGCTTGAAAATCTCAGTCGTGCGACCCTGACACTATGCATCGTGCTATGCGCTTTACATTTGATGGCCTCTAAGCAATCCTCAAAAGCGTGCCATATGCGCTGCCACATGTGCGCGCGCTCGTTCATGCTATTCACAGACCACAACCTGCGACGTATACACGCGAGCGTGCCGCTACACTCACTGTGTATCACAATCTCACCGAAGCAGCACTCCGTTGCCACGAGAATAGCGTAGTCCTCAGCGTCGCGCGACTGCTGGAATGGGCATACATCCGCTGGCACTGCACCAGACGCTACACTGACAACGTGTCCATATCCGTCCGTCACTACCAGTGCCCATCCTGCTCTTCGGGACCACCTCGAGCTTGGATGCGTCGCCGATCCGTCAGCGAATCTCAGTTTTCCAGTGAGGTTGCCGTCGGCTGGTCTAATGACCCAATAGATACCTGCTTCCTGGCTGAGCAAGGGCTTGGTGATAACTTCTCTAAGGAGCGGTAAGACTCCTGCCGAACACTTACGCTCATCTGGGTTCCACCTCCGTATGCCTGCAGCTTGTAATACTTCTTCCGAACACATGTCCTGCGAAGGAATCTCCACGCGTCACATTCAAAACGTATGTGGGAAAGAGTGCCTCGCTGGCATCCGCACAGCACACATGTGGCGTTGTCTGCCAGTCCATTGTCCATGTGGTAAGTGTCAGAGGGGACCGCAAACAGTTTTGATTATGCTCGTGCCATCCAGTGCGCACTTTGCCGTCACATAACTGCTGCATTCCATCCCTGAATTTAGGCGGCACCACGATATGTTGTAGCCCTCAAACGTTCTGCATCGATGTCCGACCGATCCCTGGCAGCTTCTCGTGCCCGTCGGGCGACCGCCACGGGTGCCAAAGAGACGAGGTCGATTTGGCCCACGTTGGTACGGATCAACCGAGCCGAAACGGGCTCACACACGATCTCTCTTAGCGCGAGGACATGCACATGTGCAGGAGAGTACGCCTTAGCCCACTTGACTTTGGAGCGCCCAAGGTCTTGCAATGCTTGTCTAAGTACAGTCTCCAATACCTCAAGCTTCACAATACTATCCCAGATAGCCCGCGCCCACCGGAACAACGCCTGGTGGTGGCAGTAGTACACGTAGCGGTCCATCTCAGAGGCCTGAGTCGAGGTCTTCATATTGAGTCCTACCGAAGCTCCTGACTTATCTTTGTGCATGTTCCTTCCTCCTTCTCCTCTTCCTCCTCCTCCTCCTCCTCCCCTTCCTCCTCCTCCCCTTCCTCCTCCTCCTCCTCTTCCTCCTCTTCCCCCAATCCATCGCACTCCCTACTGCACGCAGCGCCCGAGCATCGGATCGCCGCGCCTGGCCCCGGCTGGCTCGAGCGCCGCGGTCGGCGGGAAGCGGGGCCGAGGAGAGCGCACCTCGAATCGACTACGCGCGTTGTTGTTAACTCAGCGCTCGCACAGCCTAGGTAACAAAAAAAGCAAAGCAGCGGCGGCTGGGAAACCACTGCTGGCAGTGAGGGAAACCTCACTGACCGAAAGAGTACCTCCAGCAGCCCCATGGGCTAGGAGGCACTGGCCAGACGACGGGCGACCGCCCCGTGGCCAGAGCAAGAGAAAAACAGTCCAGCAAGCGCGCAAGACGCTACTACCGCATCGCCTTCGGCGATCGGGGGACCCCATTGGGCCCGCACCAAAGGTCACTCCGGCGAAAGGTCACTCTCAGGTCTCGTCGGCTCGAAGCAGACGAGGCGTGGGCGGCTGGCGCCCACGAAGCGAGGCGCGTCGGGTCGGAGCGCGGGCGGCCCTGCCCAGGTTTCGGTCGGGCGGGTGCTCCTGCGGGGGAATGTTGGACGAAGAATCAAAAATAGTCCCTCCTCCTCCTCCTCCTCCTCCTCCTCTTCCTCCTCCTCCTCCTCCTCCTCCTCCTCCTCCTCCTCCTCCCCAAGCATATTCAAACACAGTCCAGGAATAATTCCCAGACTATGTTTGATTATCTTTGAAGGTTCCTCCCGCAGAGGGACACGCCCGACTTCAGCCTAGGTGGCTCCCCGGCCATGTGAGTCCACTCATCGGGGGGGGTAGCCAGCCTCGATCTCTCGTCCCTGTCCCCGAGAGTGATGAGCCCGAGGCGATGATAATCGCAGGGACGTGCCCTCAGAAACTGGGGGTAGGGGTCCTTAGTATCAGCCCCGAGATGAAGCGATCCCAATCACGGGGAGGGGTTGGGACACGTTTCAGGCTGGCGGGAAGAGTAGGACCAAGGAAAGGCGGCACGACCATTGGGTCGGGCGTGTCCCCCCTACAGGCGGAGCTTGGTTGAAAAGTTAGAAACTGTCGAAGCATGCCCCAAAATGATCAGCATTCAATAATGGAAAACCCCGTCCCCAAATTATGTGTTCTGACTATTCTCGGATCGTCCTCCGATAGAGGGACGAGCCTGACTTAGAAAGAAGACCAAGGAAACGCAGCACTTCCACCGCCAGCGCGAGGAGCCAAGGGGGGGGGGCTCATCCTGGTGGTGCGGCCCCCTCTCCCGCTCGAGACGCCCCCTGCAGTCAACCCGTATCACAAGGATGCGCGGTAAGGATGCAAAGGGCCTTGGAGGGGCACCTTGGAGGTGTTTTTCGAACGAGGTTGGCCGGCGAGGGTCTCCAAGGAGGCGCCGAAGGGGTGAGGATGCAACGGCAACCCGGGAAAGGCCGCCCAACCTCACTATGCGCGCTGACTGCATCCCCAGCCCGGGGAGGCCTCGTGAACCTCCTCGCTGGAGGTGGCGCCCCTGGTGCTGGTGGTGGTGTCGCGTTTCCTTCCCTCGGAAGGAAAAGGGGAGGGGGGTACGTGAGGCACCTCGAGGGCCAAAACAAAGGCCGCGCCTCTTCTGCGTCTCGAAGTACGTCTGGAAATTCAGGTCCATGCACTGCTTGACGGCGTCCACAGAGATACCCAGGCCCTTCAGTATGCCGAGCGAGCACTGGGGCGGCGCTGTGTAGACACACACACGTGTGTGTACACATACATAAACATATATAGGTATATATGCATGTGTGTGTTTGTGAGAATGTGTGTTTGTGTGTATGCGCGCGTCGCGCGCTTAGGTTCTAGCGCAGCCCAAGCCAGCCTCACAGGATCACATGAGGATGGACATCCCCCACCGCAGGGATCGCCATATGGGAGCGTGTTTCCCTATGGACGCTTCAGGAGTATGTGAATGCTGTAAAAACAAGCCCAAGAGATCACGCTGAACTGCGCTGTTACACCGAGCAGCTGTCCGAAAGGAACTTCTGGGAGGCGTCAGGAGGCTCGTGCTGGGCGTCTCGAGAGCCCCTCGGGCTATCTCGGAGGTGTCTTCGGAAATCCCCTGGTAACCCCGGGGCCGACATGGGGCAAGTAAAAACGTGTAAGGTCTTCCAGAGTCAGGCGGTGCCGTCTTAGGCGCGGTCATGAGGTTCTCTTAAGCCGAAAAGTGCCTTGCTGGGAAGCGCTAAATGTTGCACTGCAAACAATACCAGGCACCAGACAGATGACGCAGTTCACTCTTCTCGTGGAGGCAACGTCCAATGTAGGTGTACGTGCAGGGCAAATCCCCAGGTTGTTTTGTTGTTGTGTGCGCAAGCCCCCAGAAAGGCTCCAGGACGGCGTGCAAGGCAGCCACAGCCACGAGGAGGATCCAGGACAGCATAAGCGGTGGATGCCCGAGAGCCCCTAAAAGAGCCCAGCGAAACCATGCTCAGAGCCTCTTTGGATGCCTTCGGGGAGCGCTCTTGGAAAGATCAGATCCTGGGGGATTCTGGGGGGGACCTCTTGGGTACGTCTTGGGGACTCTTGGGGGTCTCCTGGTGTCCGAAAATAGACCGACAAAGAGCTGCACAGACAAAAAGAACAAAAACATTGCCTCGAACGATCCCCACTAAAACCGTAGGCGCTTGTTCCCGACAACGCGCGGTCTCCGAATTGGTCGACAACTCCGCTTCTGGATTCAAAAACGGTTCAACCGTGTTCCATGTAGTCGCGATCTTTCATGTGTTGCTCTAGTATGTCCTGTTATGTTCTCGACGGGCTGGCGTGACGTCGTGACGCCTGTGACGTTAGGTGCGTCGTCGGTTATAACGTTCCTCGTCACTTATAGGGTTCGCCCCTGATTGGATATGCTATAGTTTGCTCATATCTGTCACACTCTGATTTGAGATGGTATGGTATGCTCTGGTATGTGCCACTAAGTTATGGCATGAAGCGTTATGTCAGGCTATGTTCTAGTATGCTATGTTGTGTGACTATGTTGGCAGCTCGACTCAATATAGTGTACTGTGATCTGTCCTGCTAGGATGTTTTGCTGGGAGATGTTCTGTGATGTTGTCATGATCTGACCTGATATGGTATGTCATGGTTTGTTAGCTGTCGCTCGGCTCTGTTATGTTATGTTGTGATATGTCCTCTCCTGGTATGACATGTTCTGCTCTGCCATGGTACGTGATGTTATGTGGTATGACGGCTCGGCTCTGTAACTTGTATCACGACATGCTCTGCTAGTATGTGTCGCTACGCTCTGCTGTCGCGTTATGATATGTTATGTGATGCTGTATCATCGTATGGTACGTTATGTTAAAGTGCGTTGCGTTATGCTCGGTTCCGTTATGATATGCGGTGGTTTGTCTTCTGGTGTGTCGTGTTCTGCTCTGGTATGTTATGTGATGTTATGTTGGTTGATGGCTCGGCTCGTCATAACATTTTGTGATACGCTCTGCTAATATGTGTCGCTATGCTCTGCTGTCGCGTTGTGATGTCCAGCGATACTGTGTAATAGTATGGTATGGTATGTCAGGGTGTGTTATGCTATGCTCAATATCTTATGTTGTCTTCTGGTATGTCATGCTATGCCCTGGCATGTTAAGTAATGTTATGCTGTGCATGTGTTTGGCATGACGTTGTTATGCTCTGTCATGCTCGTGTTATGTCATGTCATGTGATGTGGTGTCATGCCGTGTTCTGTCGTGTTCGTCGTCGCTATGCTTGGCTCTCGTATTATGATATGTTCTGTGATGGTGTGTCATGACATGATATGTTATGTTAATGTGTGGCATATTAAGTTCGGCTCCGTTCTGCTATGTTGTGTTCTGTCGTCTTCTGGTATGCCATGTTCTGATATGGTATGCTATGTGATGTTATGCGATGCTCTAATATGTCATGGCATTGACATGTTATGTTCTGCCATAGTATGGCATGCTCGTGTTCTGATATGTCATGTTATGTTGTGTCATGTTGTGTTCTGTCGTGTTCGTCGTCGCTATGCTCTGCTGTCGTGTTATGAGATTTTCTGTAATAGGGGGAAAACAAGCCTACCTCGCTTTTGACCACCCTCGCTTCCAAGAGATACCAAACGATGCCAAATTGCAGCCTGCACTGGTCAGGCCGCTCGACGAGGAGGCGCGTGGTACGGCTTGGTTTTGCCTGGAAGCGAAAGCGGGGTAGGTAATTCACGCTCTGATGTAATGCTGTGCCACGATCTGATACGTTAGGTCAAAATGTGCTATTTTATGTTCGGCTTTGTTATGGTGTATTGTGTTATGTCGTCTTCTGTTGCCATGATATGCGATGTTATGTTATGCTCTACTTTTGCATAATGTTTATATGATATGTTCCGTCCTGTTCTGTCATGATCCGTTCTGTTCTGTCATGTTCTCTTCTGTCACATTGTGTTCTGTCGTGTTCGTCGAGGGCGCGAGGCCGGACTCTCGGGGATCATCGGGACAACTTGGGGTCTGGCGGCCGCGGTGTGCAGGGTGGGGTCGGCCGGGCGCGAGGCGGGACACCCGGGACTCTCGGGGATCATCGGGTCCACTTGGGGTCTGGCGGCCGCGGTGTGCAGGGTGGGGTTGGCCGGGGGGTCTGCTCTTGAAATCCAACAGCCTCAGCCTGCCGGGTGGGGAAACACGGTCGGAGCACCGCGCGGGGCCCGCTTCTCTCCTCCCCCCCCCTGGCGCGCTCGAGGCGCGCCCCCACGCCCACGCCCACTCCCAGGCCCAGGCCCAGGCCCAGGCCTATGCCCACGCCCACGCCCACTCCCGCGCCCACGCCCACGCTCACTCCTGCGCCCACGCCAAGGCCCAGGCCCAGGCCCACGATCACGCCAGCGCCAAAGCTCAGTCTGGTTGCGCTTCAGTTCACTTTGAGTCGAGGTTCCTCCTCAGTGTTCGGGCCGCTGCATTGCAGTCCCTCCAGCACACCACTCATCGCTTGCGCCTTGCAGTGTGCGCGACATCTCGTACACTATGCCTTCGACAGAACTCGATCGCAATTGGCACCTCCATGTGCTGCCCGCGCTCGAGGACCTTCTGCGTCGCCGCCTTACTCGAGAAAAAGGACGGCGCCCGTCCAAATGCCTCAGCCCTCACCGAATAACCAAAAAAAGATCCCTAACCCTTTTGGGGGGGACCTGAATTAGGAGGGCCAAACACATTAGGGATAGGTTTTTTTTTTCAGCAGATGTATCGAAATAAACCGTCCGGATCTACATCCCGAGGACGAAAGTTCGACGGCTTGAAGTCTTGAGCAGACGCGCATGAAATAACCGCCGTCGGATCCCATGAAGTTCGCGCGGAACCAAATGTGGCTTTCGTGTTTGTTCCGGTGGATCCGATATCCGTCCGCGCGGATTCGATTTCGGATTTGCTGGATCCGTGTTCGGTATGATTTTTTAACGGCGGATCCGATTCTTACCCTGTTTAAAATTCATACGATTAAAACAGGAAGACGGATGACATCGGATCCGCGAACCCCGGAACCCGCCTGTGTTAAGATTCTACGGGGGAAAGGGGTTCGGTCATGAACTTCCAACTCAGCATCGCCATTTGCACCAAGAGGAAAATCTTTCGTCCTGCGTAAGTATTACCCCTGATGCAAAGACAGGGACCTCAGTGAGGCCACGTCTTCATCGCGTGATTAGGGTTCGGGTTTCTTTTATTCTCGATGACTCACTCCTCGATCCTCGGGGAGGCCGGGGCTGTCCCCAGGGGCATGGAGCGGGCCCCGCGCGAGGGCGGCTCCGACGCCAGCTTCTCGCGCGGCTGCAGCGCCTGCACACGCCCAGGGATGGCAAACCGATGCCCAAGGCGCGCGCGCGCTCGCGATATACAGTAGGAGCTCGACCACAGGCAACCCTCCACGAGAATCCTAATCTTGAGACCCCAGGACCCTTGATGCTTGGTGTGGGAGCGTCACGCTTTCCACAGCAAAGCCCTCGAGACCCAAGAATCCGAGCGCACCCTGGAGGCAAGCAGGGTGCTTCTTGGCATGGGCTTCCGCTGCACCAGACGAGCAGCGCGTACCACAGCAGAGGCTGCGGCGAGAAGGGCGCGAAGCATCGCCGGAGGAGGAGGAGGAGGAGGAAGAGAAGGAGGAGAGGGTGGAGGAGGCGGTGGAGGCGGAGGAGGAGGAGGACGAGGAGGAGGAGGAGCAGGAGCAGGAGGAGGAGGAGGAGGAGGAGGAGGACGACGACGACAGGAGGTGCACCAAAGGCAGCGGGGAAGAGGAGCCCGCGGCAGGGCACGCAGTTGAAAGCGGCGGGGGGGCCGGAGCTGGTGGCGCCCCCAGAAGCTCGGCCACGAAGGAGGGGCGAGTCCAACTCCGCTCGAAGCCAGTCCCTGGACCCCCCCATCTGGTGCAGCTTCTCGCCCTGCATGCGTTTCTGACTGTCCCGGTGCCGACAGAACGGCCCGTGCAGGCTTCTCCTCCTCCTCCTCCTCCGCCTCCTCTTCCTCCTCCTCCTCCTCCTCCTCCTCCTCATCCTCCGCCTCCGCCTCCTCCTCCTCCTCCTCCTCCTCCTCCTCCTCCTCCTCCTCCTCCTTCCCCCCTCCTCCCCCTGCCCCCCCCTACCCTCCTCCTGCCCCCGGAGGCAACAAAAAGGGAACCACAGGCTCCCCTAAGGCAGAGCCCCGAACCTCCCCTGCTGGCCAGGACCAGTGCCGGGCCACCTCGGACCCCCAGCGGGCTCCCAGCCCGCGGTGGGGCACAGAGGGCCCTATGCCGCGGCGGCCTCGCCTCCTCGTCGACGGCGGCCCTGGCGAGGCAGTCCTGCATGAACGTGGACGCGTACTCCCAGAACTCCTCGCACCCAAGCGGGGAGGGTCGCGGGGCAGTATCAAGCGGTGAAAGAACAACACGCGCTCAAGCTTATAGGGAGGAGGTATGGGGAATGGCAAGAGGGATGAGGGCGCCATAAGTATGGGCGCGGGTTGTCGGACCCCGAGGGGGGCTCCCGTTCGAGCGGGAAGCCCCATCCGACAACACACACCCATAGCCCCGCCGCATTCCACCCCGAGAGATCTGGTGATCGCAGAAGTATGGGTGCTAGCTGCCAGCTCGTGACCAAGGCGAATCAATACTGGAGGGGGATCGCCACATCCTCCAAGCAACGGACCCCTCTGGATCCCCGAGAACCACCGAGGGAAACGTCCAAAAACCTCCTCGATCCTCAAACCCCGCTCCTCCTCGATCACCGATTTCCAGGAGCAGGAGGTGGCGACCCCCTGATGGTGACCCCCTTGCCACTGCCCGACACGGGGGGCCCGAGTGGCTCCTCGAATTCCGGCCTACATTAAAAAACGCAGAGGCTTCCACTCTGCCATCGATGCCTCGTTCAGGGCGCAGGCTTAACGACTCTATTGTCCCTCGACTCGTGCTGGAGCTGCCGCGAGCTGCTCCAGAACTGCTTGCCCATCTCTGCAACTGCAGCGGCTTGTCCAGATGCTCATCTCTGCAACTGCAGCGGCTTGTCCAGATGTTCATCGACGTGCGCAGCCTTGCCCCGATGTGCCTGGCTTACTCCCCTGAAGCCGACCCAGATGAAGACAGAACGGCAAACGCCAGAAGCCTTCGGAGGCTCGCAGGGCAACTCGTGGACTGGCGCTGGACTCCCCGCCCCTGGCGTGCGAAGCGCGCCATGGGGGCCAGGCGCCGGTGCAAGAAACCCGCGCTGACCTCCGACAATCGACGTTCATACAGTAGAGGCCAGTCCACCAGAAACCTTCTACAAGAAACCCAACCCTCAGAACCCAGGACGTCCGTGTTTCTTGGCATGGGTCTCCACTGTACCCCGCCTCCCCTGCCCCCCTCTCCCACCCCCTATCCCTCCGCCCTCCCTTGACTCCGAGCAACCTTTGGATGGCCATTGCTGTAGCGCTTGATGTCTCGAGCCAGCATGGCTACGGCGCCAGAAGAAGCTGGAGGAAGATAAGGAGCGTGGGCAGGATGACCAATAGGACGAGGATGACGACTTGCAGGAGGATGGCGGCGAACTCGGAGAAATCATCAGAACAAGTCTGGGAGAATACCAGCCTGCTACCAGCCGAGAGCCACACCCAAAAGAGACCCATCAGACCCCCGACACACCCGCCGCCGAATCATTATTTCCCTCCGCCTCCTCTCGCTCCTGGGGTGAGGATGAGGCCGCTGTAGTGGCGATTTCGACCATCGGGTCGAAAGAGGCAGGGCGCTCAGCCGGCAGAATGAGCTTGGCCTTGCCTTCATGGACAACCGAACCGAACCTGCTCCACTCATCCTCGTCGCCCGTCGCCTCCTACTTCTCGCTTGGAACACCGCGGGTGTTGATCAGAGAATATGCGGGTTATACGTGGATGATACGGTGGGTTGTGTTTGCCAGCGTGGACCACACGCAGTAAGAGACTGCAGTGAGAATGTGGTAGCTGTGTGGTGCAAGCTACGTGGTGTCAGCTATGTGCTGCCACCAATATGGTGCAAGCTAGGTTTGTGTAAATTATTTGGTGCAAGTCCTGTGGTTCCAGCTGCGTCGTATAAGCTGGGCGGTGCTGGCTAGTTGATGAGAGCAATGCCGCGAAGATGTCAGGTGGTGCAAGCTATGTGGTGGAAGCTATGCTGTGCAATCTATCCAGTGGCAGCTGCGTGGTGCAAGCTGGTCTGCCGCCAAGCGCACGAGACGCCAGCGAGGAGCTCACGAGCGGGTGCCAGGCGGAGCCCCGGCCGATGCACCCATAGCACGGGGCGCCCACGAGGAGCCCGTGGGCGGGCACCAGGCGACACCTCGGCTGACCCACCCAGCGAGAGAGGCGCCCACGGGCGCCCACGAGGGCGCACCAGGCGGCACCTCGGCTGACCCATCCACAACCCTGAAGGAACCCACACGGCTTGAACAAGACCTCGCCTGACCTGGCTCGTCAATGGGTCACGAGTGCCCGGAGTGGCTTGCGGGGGAAAGGTCCAGACCATGTGGGCCCCGCCCTCTTAGCGGAGCTGCCCACCTTCAAGCCACTTGGGGCACTTGTGACCTACGCTAGGCCAAGTAAGGTCCACCTTACCACCGCGGCGGTCCAAGTTTCTCCTTACAGTGGAGGCCAGTCCACAAGAAACCTTCCACAAGAAAACCAAGCCTGAGACCCCTGGACGTCCATCGACTTGTGGTGTGGCAGCGTCATGTCTTGCGTGGCGAAGCCATCGAAGCCCAAGAAAACCGGGGCACCCCAGAGGCAACCAGGGTGCTCCTTGGCATGGGCTTCCACTGCATCTTGCCCCAGACTCTTCTTTAGGAGGCAACTACTGGGAGGTTTTCGTCGGAAAGATTAAGGGGGACTAGGCCCCATTTGGGAGCTGTTACGCCTGAGTGGGCCTCGGATTAAGCGGGATTAAGCCGGATTAAGCGGGATTAAGCGGGAGTAAGCGGGATTACGCAGGACGGAGCAGGATTAAGCCGGATGTCGGACCAGGGCAAAATCAGAATTGACCTGCCAGGAGTTGCATCCGAATCTTCTGCACTCTGCGGAGAGCAAGACGAGACGGGCAACGACCAGCTTCAACCTACGAGCCCAGCACTCCCCGCGGACTTCTTGGGCCGGCGATGGGCCCCTGGCCCCCGGCGGGCGAAGGCGCGCAGAGGGCGGCGCCCGAGGCGCCGCTGCGGGCCAAAGGGGCTGGGCCCCAGGCAAGGGGACCAAGGACACGCAAATCAATACACACACACACAAATAACAGGATTCCCAATATTTTCCCATATTTTTGGGTTTTTTTCTGTCTTCCCCTCCACTTCCCATAGTTTCCCATGTTTTCTGGGGAGTCGACGGTTCATTGTGCCTGCGTGTTCTTTCCCCTCCTGACAGAGGGGGCGGGCCCAGGGAGCCCGAGCGGACCGCTGAGAGCCTGGTGCGGCAGGCTCGCGCCGTGTCGACCCCGGCGCTGGCTCCGGACACCGCGGGGATCGTCCCACCTCGAAGGATCGGCCGTGAACCGAAGCGTCAGATCGTTCAACCTCGACCGAATCTGGGTCGCCGGCGGCGCTCAGCGCTGAAAACGCGGGCGGCGGGGCCGCCGCCGGTCGAGGCGACGCGAATACCTAGCGTCTACGGTAGGAGCTCGTCCACAAGAAGCCTTCCACGAGAAGCCCAACCTGAGACCCCAGGGCGTCCACGGATTTTTGGTGTGGGATCGTCACGACTTCCACAGCAAAACAATCGAAGCCCATGGAACCCAGGGCACCCTGGGGGCAAGCAGGGTTTTTCTTGGTATGGGCCTCCACTGTGATGCCAATTTCCGTTCTTTGATCTACCCTCCCTACGCTGAAGTGGGCGCCTACGTGAAGAGGCCTTGCTATAAGACATCTCGCGACACACTTGTGGGTCGATTTCGGACTTTGCGGGGATTCCATGTGAACTCCAATGGGAGTCTGGGGTGAAGGGAACCAAGGGCAAGGAAAGAGAGAAGCGCGAGAGGAAACAAGTCGACGGCCGACCTGTACTTGGGAGAGCGGTTGCGAATCGCCCAACCTTCCACGGAAAGCTCAGACTGGACCTCGGTCGGACGAAAGGGGGGTTAGCGAATCGGCTTACGTAGCTGATCTTCCTGGCGCCTCACGACGCCAGACAGATGTTAACCCACTCAGCATCCACTGATAATCCCTTGCCTACTTAGCACCCCCCGCGGTGATCCAAGTAGTAAAGAGCCTTTGCGAATCAGCTCACGTAGCTGCTCTTCCTGGCGCCTTCTGGCGCTGGAGGCGCACATGTGCGTATCGAGGAAGACGCCCGCCGCCGCGGCCGATACCGGCTGCAGGCAGCACCCGTCGCACCCACCCACCCCTTTCGCTATAATCTCGACTACACGCAAGAGTGACCCTGGGTAAGAGTGACCTTTGATGCGCGGCTTTTTGGGGACCGCGGGGGGACCAAACACAAGCGCGCAAGACGCTACTATCGCATCTCATTGGCGACCGGGAGAACCCGTTTGGCCCGCACCAAAGGTCACTCCGGCGAAAGGTCACTCTTACGTCTAGTCGATAATCCTCCCCTTCGTCTGGTCCGGTGTCTGGAGATCGGCCCCAGCACCCGGATGACGCCGACGACAGCGACGACAGCGACGACGACGCCGACGACGCCGACGACGACGACGGCGACGACGACGACGACGACGACGACGACGACGGCGGCAAAGCAGGGGGCGGAGAACGGTGCAAACGAATATATGCTCCGCCATCGGGGACGCCTGTCACCCAGGCGGCTGGAACGTCTGCATCGCTGCCGATTTTCGGCGGCGGCACGCAGATGTATGGACACTTCGGCCGCCCCGGGCGACGGGCGTCGCCCATGGCCACCGCCACTGAGCCGAGCATCCAGAGGGACGCGTGGGCAGACGCGCGCGCGACTCCGCAAATACGACAAGCGAGACAGAAGAGGGCGAGGAAGAGGAGGACAAAACAGAAACGCCTCAGGTGTGCTGCGCTGTCTTGTACACTTCGGTAGCCCACTGCTGCCTAGGTCCCCGATGGCGGACAATATCATCTTAAACCGCTCTTCGCCCGCCCCAGGCGAGGGCAAGCGCGGTCCGCGCAGAATCCGGAAACCGCGTCGGATCTGAACGCGCATCGTATCGGGCCGCATCGGCGCGGAGTCAAGATCGGGGCGAAGCGGCCGCGTCGGGATGCACGCCGATGGCGGCATGCGAGCGTCGGTGGCCGCATCGGACCGTCGCTGGCACGCCCGAGATGGGTACGGGAGACTGTGTACGATATCCAAACAGCAGATGTTGTTCAAAACCAACAGGGCGGCAGCTGTTGGAGAGGCGACCTTTTGGTTTCAAAGATG